GCCAAACACATAAGATCTCCATACCCCGTCCGGTATGGGAGACCACAATCCCGGTAGGGTTCCCTACGGACCTGGTCCGTCCACCATCTCCCAGGATATCTAGTCAGACTGACCACATTATACAATTATCCATTTACATAATCTTTCATTCTCTTTTTCCTCAGTCAGCATCATTAATCCACATACAAACAAGCAAAACAGTAATTTATGCCAAACAGACAACATACAGCATCAATATCCCAGTTATTCAATCCATAATCAATAAAACAGTAAAATATGCACACGAAACTATAAAATGAAAACATCAAACCTCATACTGCATTTAAAACTGTAAAATAGGCCAAATAACAGTTAACCGACAAACACACTAGACTCGGGCTCCATTAGCGACCATAAACAATTTCACACATCTATTGATTCATGAAATACCGTTTTATCATTTATTAAACTTTAATACCGTAATAGGAAATAGGATGAGGGGTCCTTACTCGTTTCGGGGTCTGAACACGGCTTCACAGTGCGCCTACAGGCTGTCCCTAATTTTTCCTAAATTTTTTCTGGGGAACTGAAACGCACTACTGGTACCTGTACGTGTTCTAAAAAATTCCAAATTAGGCACAGGGCCCCTTTTTGGCCAATATTGCAATTCCGACACGGCGGCTCCTTACGATAAAACAACCCTAGGGCCCTCGGGGGGCCAAAAAATTACGGAAAATCGAAGCTTACCGGCGGCGGTGCTCTCGGGTACGACAGCTCTCCGGTGAGGTTCATGTTTTGGTGATTCGGCTTCAATCAACCTGTAGAGAAAAGAATGGTGATCACGGTGATATAAAAATTGCATCAAACGGAGGCCGGGAAGGGCCTCATCGGAGGCAAAAATCGAGGAGGGGCGCGGCGGCGCCGCTGGATTTCGGCTGTGTTTTCCAGCCGTTTGGCCGGGATTTTGGCTCCGATTTGGCCACAGGGGAAATCAGCGTGGAAAAACGAGTCGGGGGTATGAAATTTACCTCGATCGGCGGTCGGAAATCTCCCCGGTGCGGCGGCGCCCGGCGTCTGGTTCGTCTTCTCCGACGAGGGCAGGCAGCTAGGGTTTTTGTGGTCAGGTGTGGGGGTTCTATTTATACCCTTTTGCCTTTTGATCTCAGTCGTCCATTTTGATTTAATCTGGGCCGTCCGTTTTTGATTGAATCTGGGCCGTCCGTGTGATTGCATCTGGGCCATCCGTGCGCACGCTTGATCTGGGTCGTCCGATCGCGCGTACGCGGATCGCCAACGTGGCCCATCCCCGGTCGACGTGGTTTTGCCACGTGGCAGGTCCTGGTTGGCCAGGACTGCTGACTGGGTCTGCTGACGTGACATTCGTTTTTTTTTAAACCTATTTAAATTTTTTAAAAAAATATAATCAATTTTTTTTTATATATTTTCTGGGCGTTACAACAGCAACCGGTGAAACCAGAACAACGGCGCAGTTACATCTATCCAAGCATGGTCGCACGAAGCCCAACGACAAAAAAGTCGCGGCTGGCCAGAAAAGGAAGAAAAGAAAATTGCACGACCGGCTCTATTTCCTTTCTATTCTGCGCGATCGAAGGGAAGGGAAGGTTTTTCAGCCTTGTTTGTGCGCGAAACTAGAGCCAGAGAGGGAAAAAACGTGTCGGAAAAGACGAACTAGCATGGCGACACCAGGCTCATGTGAGGCTCAATTTGTGGCGTTCTTGACGTGTTTTTGGCGCGTCTTCACCATATTCGTGCCAGATTAGTCGAGTCGCATAGTTCTGTGTTTTTTTAGGTGATCTCCAACGGCGACGAACAGTGGCTGATGGTGGCGCGTGAAGCTTCAATGGTCGCACGTGTGACAGCGCATGTGGCGGTGCATGGAGGCACATGGCGGCGTGTGCGGTGCTCAGTTGGTTACATGTAATAGTTTTCTGTGCAGCAGTGACTCCCTATGCGTGTTTGTTTTTTATTTTTCTGACAATATTATTTGTCTCCATTTGTTTATTTTTGGTGCACAGTCTAAAAATTAGAGATGATATCCACGAAGTTTATGTTAGAAAAATTTGATGGTAAAACGAGTTTTAGTTTATAAAAATTAGAATGAGATCATCATTAGTACAACAGGATTTATGGAAGGCAATTGAGGAAAGATTTCTAGA